CCCCAAAACCCCAAAACCCCAAAACCCCAAAACCCCAAAACCCCTGAATTCAGACTTGGAATTGAATAATTACACTGATTTACGCGCTTGATATTTATAAGGACACAAACAACTCGAGTAGAGGTCTGAATGGCGTGTTAAGATCAACCTAGATTCTGAATTAGACAACTGACACAGAACTAAACTTTTTGAGCTAAACTTTTTGAAACTAGACTACAAATTTCTTGACTCTCAGAATTAGCATTATTGCTAAAGTCCTAAAATTTGGTTATTTAACATGAGAGTTTAAGCTCCAAGAGTTGATATTCTAGCCAAACTATGCTTACTCATTAGAATGCTGGTTAATCTCCTTGATATGCTTACTAACCATTTTTCTATTATTCTCAATATGGGTAGTAATTTTGTTCTTTTTCTTCCCATTGGTCTTAGTGTACAACGGGTTTTGCAGATCAAGCCTTTGTTTCTGCCTCATGCCTGGTTGTGCAGTGTTGGGTTTCTTAGGCTCTAAACAATCAGTCACTAGGCTATTACCAATATTACATCGCTTGAGGACCTCATCCCATTCATTTATCTTATTTTTACTCATGTCTCTGTATGTTAAGCTAGATCATTACGATAATTTCTTTAGGTTATTGAAGAATTTTGCTTTATTTAAGAGACCTGATATTCGACCGGTCTTCTGTGGTAACAGAGCCTAGATATTTTGAGGGTAAACTCCTTACTTTCACTGGCACCTCGAGTAAGATTTCGTCTGATAGAAGCTCTTCTTGGAACTTTCTTTAATTTAGCAACATTGGCTTTCTAGAAATTGGTTATAACTAACACAAGTTTGGGTTTTTACCTTATCGAGGGATTTTAGAAGGGTTGACTTGTGAGTCTTAAGTTTGGGAGTTTTCATATGTACATTGTTGCTCCGTTTGAAATTAGCTTTTGGAGCATAGCTCTGAAGAAAATTTCCTAGAGAAGGCTGGCAAATTATTATCCTCTTCCTGAAGTTCTTGTTATTTCAGCAAAATTGGCAGTGAGCTGCTCTTTGGTCTGAAGGTAACAGTTAAGGGAGAAGAGAAATTTAGAAAGCCAATTTTTATTTGATTTATAGTGGTGAGGCCGATATTTACAGAGATTTTAACTGGAGAAAGTGAAAAGAAATAGAATTTAACACCTTACCTTGCCTTTTGAATTTTAAATGGCTCTGGCTCAAATATCAAAGATTTCCTAAAAACAATATAATCTCTGTAGATTTCACCAAAAATGAGCTCTAGAAATCTTCCCCTAATTTAGATAACTTTTCTTTAGAAAATAACCATACTTTATTGGTTCCTCTTGGATAGTTTCCATGATCAGGATTTTGATAATTCTTAACAAATAAGTATATTCAATAATTCTTAATAAATTAGGGGTTTTGGGGTTTTGGGGTTTTGGGGTTTTGGGG